TAAATTATTTCCATGCACGTTTACTTTCAACTAAAACGTATACCAAATTCCTACAAACATAAAATTCACAAAATAACTATCATTTCATTAAAATATAATTAAATTCAAAAACACTACTTAAAATATAAATGAGCACATACATTAAATTAATAAAAATTACCTTACAATCCTAATTACTTTAAACTAAATCATTGTTAATAACAATTTTCCCAATAATACCAAATTCCTTTCCACCTTACATTTAGAACAATGCATAAAAATATCCTCAAATAATTAAAAATACTAACTTACCTAATCTTCTTCAGAATCTTGATTACGTGTCGATACACTTTTCTTCTTTCTGTTTCAGATCTTTAAAATCATGCTTATATTCACAGCAAGGTACCAGGTAAAATAAATTAATAAAACATCTTTATTTCTATCTCGCACAACCTTAAACAAACATTTATTACTACCCTTTTCAATACCACTAAATACCCATTTCGAATTCACTTTAGTTACGGCCATGGGATCCAAAAATTAACCAACACTGTTTCACACAACACAGAATAAAGCCAAATACAAAATTTCCAGATTTTTTCCCGATTTCCCCCCTTTTCCGATTAAAGAACCGTAATTCGTCCATTAATATCACATGACATATCCCATGATCTCTCATTTCCCTCACACAAAATAATGCGTAATCGGAACTGAGTACTGCTCACATTATTAACAAAGTCCCAGGTAGTAACCTTTATCGCCTCCAAAATGTCGCCAAACTACCAGTTACCATATTGTAAAGATCAACCTAAACAACACTGTTTCACACAACACAGAATAAAGCTAAATACAAAATTTCCAAATTTTCCTGATTCCCCCTTTTCCCGATTAAAGAACCGTAATTCGTCCATTAATATCACATGACATATCCCATGATCTCTCATTTCCCTCACTCAAAATAATGCATAATCGGAACTGAGTACTGCTCACATTATTACCAAAGTCCCAGGTAGTAACCTTTATCACCTCTAAAATGTCGCCAAACTACCAGTTACCATATTGTAAAGATCAACCGTAAATATATATCCGAAATTCTATTTGACGTAATCGAAAGTTCAAGCTTACTTTTATCAAATTGCTCTAACAGCCTGCAAAAAATAATAAGCCAGTTCCAATTCGAAAATTAAGGAACAACGCAATCTGCAACACTAACTGAATTAGATAATTTTAGCTTAGCTTATACCGTCCGTTATACATTAAACGCACATTTGTAAACGTATTTTGCGGATGCGCACACGCATATTAACGACCGTAAAGGTCTTACGCGAATGCGCAGAAAGTTTGTAGCTTTGAGGTCCAGATTATAGATCATTCTGGATTATGGGTGTCCGAATTAACGACTTTTGACTGTATTCGGTTTCGAGGGCCGTAAAAAAAATTGCAGCGAAAATGTATGCGCGAAAGCGCCAAATCTAGCAAACACGCCCATTTAACAGCGTGCCAAATCTTGGGTACGTGCTGATTTCAGATTGCGTATGTTTATATAGTTCTATATTTCTTAAGATGCCATTGAAATACTAGTTTAATTTTTAATTCCTTTTTTGATATCCTATGGATTTAACAATTTGAAAATTGCCTATGATGAAAAGTCTGCGATAGAATTTTGGATAAAGTGCAGAATCACCTACTGCTTGATGCGTTTTTAAGAATTGCACATACTCGGTATCCAAGTGCGCTTCGACCTATTTTCACTTTAAAAAAAATCCTAGAATTGCACAAAAATGGCACTGCGCACATCCTTGACTTTATCTATGTACACATCGACCTATTGTCACTTAAAAAGTAAAAGAAAATTGACACAATTCCAATTGTTTTTACCCTTGTAAAAAGTGGGAAAGAAATAAGCGGGCGATTAAGCACTTTACCGAAAATGTTTTCGAAGAAAAGGCATCATTCATTATAGAAAATTATGTTTGAACAACCAACGAGATGACTTTATGCTTTAGTGATAACTCGATAGCAAAATATTATATGAAATTAACCTTTCATTTAAATTAAAACATCAATATTTAAATAGTTATTTAGTATTATACTTCCTTTCTTGCATTAGGGTTGCCTTAATTACTTTTGGCAGCACTGGTATCAACAATAGTTTGGCGATTTTTTACGGCCCTCGAAACCGAATAGTACCATCAATTTAAATCTGGTAAGATGGCATGCAGAAATTATAAAATTAAAAATATGAAACCATAATTTATGAAATAAAGAGCAATTATGATCTAAAGGGTATCAAAATTTACAAAAAAAGCTTAATTTTTATTTGTTTACTTTATTAAACATTTCTTTAAACGCAGGCATGCGTAAAGCATACATTACGCATAGTCGAAATTAGAAAATTGGGGTAGAGTAGAATTTAAGGTACCCCTTGTATTATGGTGAAGTTGTTGTTTAATTTATCGTAGCCTGAGTAATTGAATGTCATGGAAACCCTATTAAAACGTAATCGGGTGCATGATTCTGGGAAATTTTGAATCATGGGATGTTTCCTAAGTGTTTTTGTGGTGTGTGTTGGTTTGATTCTTTGAACGGTAGAATGGCCAAATGTAGTAAGATTAATTTGAAGTTTCTGTACAATTTGGAGCGAAAGGGGAAAATAATTTTAATTGACTGGTGTGTAAATGAAGGTGTACTTAGTAGCCATTATAAGTGTCCTGTATGTAGGAAGGATATGCGTCTAGTCGAACGTAAAAACCATTTAGATGGGTTTGTAGGAAGAAAGGTTCAGATGATCACTATGTGAAGCGTTCGATCAGAAAGAGTACCTGATTTGAAAAAAGTCATTTGAGTATGATTGATATTTTGATTTTTACGTGGCTCTGGGTATACGAAGCGAACTCGAAAATCATGGTAAGTCAATATTTGCTTTTGGTAGTGCTTAAATGTATAACATGTTTTTCCTTTTTTTATGTTATTTTATTGTTTGGTTTAAGATGTATTTTATTGAGATTATGTATTTTTGGTTTGCCTATATTGTAGAATTTGGTGCTCCTTTGACTCTTTAAGTGAAAATATATCGATGTGTACATGGACAAAGTAAAGAGAGTGCACAATGCAAGTTTGTGTAATTCTGGGATTTTTTTTTTTAAGTGAAAATAGATCAACATGTACATGGATAAACTTAAAAGAGTGCACAATGCCGTTTTTGTCCAATTCGGTGATTTTTTTTTAAAGTGAAAATAGGTCAACGTGTACTTCGATGTAGTCAGAGGAGTGCTCAATGACATTTTTGTGCAATTTGAGGATTTTTTTTTAAGTGAAAATAAGTGGATGTGTACATGGATACTGACTTTGTGCAATTGTTTGTCTTAATGAGTCAAAAAATTTCACAAAATCAGTATCCATGTACCGCCAAAAATCGCCAGTGGGTACCCTAAACTACACTTTTACCGAAAATTGCAACCAGAAAACTATCGCATGTGTATTCGTGATATTTATAATGACACAGAATTTGATTTAAATCATATCAAAGACGGAGTACATTGAGAAGAAATACTACATTTAGTATAGTATAATAAGCCGAATAAAATTAAAACATCTGCCCTGAAGATAAGGATAGAGCTGACAGATCAACTTACAGTTCATTGTGCACAGCGACATACCCTTTACCCCCGTATGATAAATTCATGTTATCATACAATGGCAGTAAATAAAAATGAATTATTTTAGCTTTCTTTACTATTACATGAATAAAATATAAAACAGTTTTCAAAATAAATATCTATTTATACACAGATTTCTTACCTGCAGACAAATGATGTTTCTCAAATTTCTTTTGAGATGCATCACACACCTGGCATTGGTCTACTTGGTATGCTCAAAATTTGACTGAAAATGTCCGAGATTTCATTTTGCCTTTCTATCATTGCTGTGGATCACTGCACTAATTTTGTGAACATTATACTCTACTGAAACACGATGAGCATGGTCTTCAGTACTTGTTCATGACGAGTGGAAATACCTAATACATTTTTCAGGACAGGCACCAAGAATGACATTTCTACCTGTGATGGTGCAGTTATAATTATGCAGTTATAATTCATATCTGTATGAAATTCAGAAACAGTTTAATACAAAACACATAAAATTTACAGCATACATGTTGGATGAAACATTTAGCCACCGTTTACAATTTCAGTTTTTGAAGTTCTTATCCATACTTCATTATGCAGCAGATATAAACACTGAACACTTATTATCATGTAAAAAGAACTTGAAAAATATTTCATCTTGGGAAAACAAATAAATGCTTTATAATTTACTTTCATCAAATGAGAATTCATGTTTATCCTACAGAGTCAGTAGATTATGCTATTCAGATTGTTTATGCCATTCAATGCTGTTCAGATTTGCTTTTTTGAATTCTAAGAATTTTGCTGTTTTTAAATTCTGTCAACTGGTGGGATAAAAACCAGACTTGACCTCCAATCATGAGGTTTTTCAAGCTGCACAGACAATTGCTTACTGCGAAGGTAAGGAAAAGTTGTTTCTAATATATGTTCAAAAACAGGAAGTTTTGCTTCTGTGTAGATAAGAGATATGTTTCCTCAACTTCTTTATTGCCCTAAATATCATGCCACATACTAACTCATAACATTTGTCTCTTATGTTGACATTCATATTTAAATGTTCTTTATGAAAATAAATGAATATTTACGTACCATGCACACAAATTTTCTCTCCAGTGTGAATAAGCCTATGCTTGTTAATCTACCCATTTGAGAAAAATTCCTACATATTTCATACATACGAGGTTTCTCTGCTGTGCACATGTGCGTATGCAACTTTAAATGATTTTTTTTTTCATTAAATGGATTTCACTCATACAAGATTTCTCTCCTGTGTGAATGTGCATTTGGCTGTTTAAATGAGCTTTTCGATTAAATGACTTCTTACATATGTCATAAATAGAAGATTTCTCTCCTGTGTGAAAAAGCATATACTTTTTTTTAATAAACCTTTACTCTAAATGTCTTCTTACATACTTCACACATATAAGGTATCTATCCTGTGTGAATGAATACGCCTATGCATTTTTAAATGAGGGTTTTTTGATTAAATTATTTATTGCATATTTCACATATATAAGGTTTCTCATCTGAGAGAATAAGCATATGCTTCTTTAAACTATTCTTTACACTAAATGTCTTCTTACATACTTCGTACATAAATTTCTATCCTGCGTGAATATGTATATGCTTGTTTAAAGTACCTTTTTCACGAAACGTCTTCTTACATACCTCACACATGTAAGGTTTCTCTCTTGTGTGAATGCGCATATGGTTGTTTAAAAGATGTTTTCGATTAAATGATTTCTTGCATACTTCACACATATGAGGTTTCTCTCCTGTGTGAATCAGCATATGATTGTTTAAACTACCTTTATCACTAAATGCCTTCTTACATACTTCACAAATATGAGGTTTTTCTCCTGTGTGAATATGCATATGCATGTTTAAATGAGCTTTTAGAGTAAACATCTTCTTACATACTTCACACATATAAGGTTTCTCTCCTGTGTGAATACGTCTATGCATGTTTAAATAACCTTTTTGTTTAAATGATTTCTTACATACTTCACATGTATAGGTTTTCTCTCCTGTGTGAGTATGCATATGTATGTTTAAATGAGTTTTTTGTTTAAATGATTTCTTACATACTTCACACATATAAGGTGTCTCTCCTGTGTGAATAAGCATATGCTTGTATAAACTACCCGTTTCACTAAACGTCTTCTTACATACTTCACACATATGGGGTTTCTCTCCTGTGTGAATACGCATATGCATGTTTAAATTAGATTTTCGATTAAATGATTTCTTACATACTCCACACATATAAGGTTTCTCTCCTGTATGAATACCCATATGTTTGTTTAAATAAGCTTTTTGTTTAAATGACTTTTTACATACTTCACAAGTATAAGGTTTCTCTCCTGTGTGACCACGCATATGCATGTTTAAATAAGCTTTCTGTTTAAATGACTTCTTGCATACTTCACAGATATAAGATTTTTCTCCAGTGTGACTAAGCATATGCTTGAATAAATTCCCCTTTTCACTAAACGTCTTCTTACATACTTCACACATATAAGGTTTCTCTCCTGTGTGAATATACATATGCCTGTTTAAATAAGCTTTTTGTTTGAATGACTTTTCACAAACTTCACAGCTATAAGGTTTCTCTCCTGTGTGAATATGCATATGCATGTTTAAATGAGTTTTTATACGAAACGTCTTCTTACATACTTCACACATATAAGGTTTCTCTCCTGTGTGAATACGACTATGAATGTTTAAGTATGCTTTTTGTTTAAATGATTTTTTACATACTTCACACATATAAGGTTTCTCTCCTGTGTGACTATGTATATGCATGTTTAAATGAGTTTTTTGATGAAATGATTTTTTACATACTTTACACATCTAAGGTTTTTCCTAAGTGAATAAGCATACACATATTTAAATGATTTTTGATTGATTTAAATGAAAAGCTACTCCACACCTTGGTGATGGTGGTGGTAGTAATAGAGTTAATGGTGCATAACCAGAAAGGTTACATGCGCCAAACACGGTAGTTTAAACAAGTGCAGCTTTCATTCCAACTAAAGTTTATATGAAACCTAAATTTAAAACAAAAAAACAGTGAAGTTAAAAAATCCAAATGAAAGAATAAAATGATGAACACTAAGATGAATAGCTATATAAACTCAACAAATGATATCCATCAAACGAAGAAGCACATTAAAATTACACTCTAATAAAAACTAAATCAAATTAAATAAAATCACCCCGTTTCTTTCAGGTATAGAAATAAATTATAACTAGCTTCTTTCCGGATTAAACGGTTAAGAGGCAAGTCACTCTAAAACAAATTCTCTAGTTTCAGTCTACTAAAATTCGTATCCATGTGCACATCGACCTATTTTCACTTAAAAAAAATCCGAGAATTGCATAAAAATGGCATTGTGCACTCCATTGGCTTTATCCATTACACATCGACCTATTTTCACTTAAAAAGTCAAAGAAAATTGACAAAAACTTTTACTTTTGTAAAATGCGCCAAACAAATAAGTGGGAAATTCTGCACTTCAGCCAAAATGTTTATCAAATAGGGACAGATTGCCTCATCTTCTGCTTTGAGTGATTCCAGGCCCCAAGAATCACGTTGGATGGTAACCGGTTTTTTCCCTTACCTGGGAAAGGGAAATTAGATTTTGAATATAGGGAATTTTTGTTCATAGCGTTGTTTCTATATAGGTCCCTTACAATTATGCATCTACAAACGCTGACGGTTTACATAAGTTAGCGGGTCTCACGTCAAGGTTCTTTAATATTAAAGATTAGGCCAGGAACGGAAAAAGCGTGCCATTGATTACTGGTAGTGACGTCACCCGAGTGACAAGACCATGGAGGTAGGAGGTAAGATGGAGTCGCCCTAAACAAGTTTCTCCGTACCCTGCTCTGAAGCACAGGCGATCCCTACATGGTGACCAAAACATTAGGTCATTTACCATTGAGTTCTATGGGATTTGACGCGTTCGGGTGTAAATATTTTGTAATTACATCGCAAATATACATATAAATGTATAAATTTTCTTTTTCTACAACACTTCAAAGTCCTAAGTATGTGAAAACAACATATTGTTAAACAACATTTCATTCTGAACGGAATTAAATGCTATACATTTCACAGGACAGTTTTCTCAGAATGGTTTAATTTGAATGAAATATTTTCACAAGTTTTCGTTAATTACCATTAGAAAAAAAATTAAGGTAATTCGATTTTATTCGGTTAAGGTACAAAATTAAGATCAAAGTTTATTGTATTATTAATATTAAAATTATGCATTATTTCTTTTCTATTTATAGAGCTTCTTCCTAAAATACTTTCTTAAATATGACATGATTTTTTGGCTTCTTTTAAATCGAAAAATGTAAGTCAATTTATAATTAATGCTCTATTCGGTTCATATTAAATTAGAGAAATATTAGGAATTAGCGAAATACTTTAAATAAGTAATTCGCTAATTCCTAATAATTAAATAGTATTTGACTTTCTCTGAACATTTCTGAAAGGGAATAAATTTTTTTTTTTTTTTTTTTTTTTTTTAAGTATTCTTTAAAACTTGTAACTGAGTTATTATAAAATGTAAAGGGAATAATTCTTTTAATTATACTTATCAGATTTTTTTTTTTACCCTTCATTTCAACAATACATATTCGAAAACTCTTTATTACGTTCTTAGTGCGCATCTCATAGCATTTGCTTTACAATACCTTTTAACAGATTGCTTTCCAATACGAACAATTCTTGCTTAAATAGTTTTATAACGTATTTGTCAACAGGATTTCAATTTATGTTTACAATTCAATATTAAGGTTATTATATATTTAGATAACATTTATAATCATTATAAATTAGATACATTTAATCATTAGATTTCTTCACAGTACTATCACAGTTGTTTATAAGTGAATAAATTCTTCATTTCAAATACATTTATAAATAATTTAATGAATATTTAAGTATTTTGTCAAAGGCAGATACATGCCTTTTGCAAGCACATGCATAAATACCCATACATGTTTCCTATTTATCATTTCCGGCATGTGCAAATCTTTAATTTCTGTGCATTCACTATATTTTTCGTGTAAAGTAATTTACACTAATTTAGCATACACCCGAAAGTTTTACATAAAAAATATATATGAATATAATTTGAATGAAAATTATAAGTATTATTTTTAATACCCACTCAAAGGTCAGTTTTTCTTCAAAATTCCTCCCACGATGGCATCTCTCTCTTTAGGCAGATAGCCCTTGCATGCGTTACTCTATTTAATAAAACTTAATCTGACCTATGTGCCTAATTACAAATATTTTAACATACATAATTTTATATTTACATTTAGCCATCAAGTTTCAAACTTTTAAATCTTCTAGAAAATAATTTTGGCAGATCTCTTTTAGCAATTTTCTTAAAATCTATATTTTTGTAGTGCAACTGCTTAGAATTTTATAAAACAAATTCATAATCAAAATCGCTGTTGTTAGTTATCGAAAAATAACCAAGATGTGATTTTTGCGTAAATGTCAGTAAACTGTACAAATTGCTATTATCCATCACACTATGAATGTTTCTTTCATGCGAGAGTGTCCCTTTTTCGATTTCTATGGAACTGTCGTGTGTCGAAATACTATCAGAATCTTGTCAAGCGAGCTTCTGAATGTAAACAAAGAACACCCCGTCTGGTGACCCAAGCTTCAAAGCAGTGCTTCACTTCTAGCGCGGAATGGCCCCTCCTCCCCTCCTCCATGGACAAGACATATGGGTCGGCGCGTCTGCTACATGATTTTGATAATGGGAAAAATGTGAACTAAAGCAAAATGATCCTTTTATATGTCGGAATTATAATAATATACCTTAAATACCGGGTATATACTTTCTGATTAAGCATTTTGTTAAAGCGAATGTTTATTTTATGCACAGAATTCGTACGAATGCTCAAAATTTTTTTGTAACATTACATCCTTTCCTAAAGGAATGCATTAGAAATGAAACAGATATTTAGTTAATAAGGGACATAAATTTGTAAAACGAGGTATTTTCCAATATATTTATGCTGTATTGTTTGCACTAAGTAAATTTTTGAATAGAATAATGAAGCATAACTAAAACCATGGTAAAACATAATAAAAAGTATTTCCAATTTCTTTCATTGCTCATTTTTTTTTAATCAAAGGAATTTTGACATTCCATCAGAAATAGATTGTGGATTTTGAGTTAGAATACATAAGCAAAAATATATATAAAAAGTTTAAATCAACAAATTTATATTTAATTACCCTCAAATTCTACAAATCTCTTAATATCACATCCTTACACTTTTAAATAGACTTATCACATTCTTTTAAAGTCATTTACTTATACTGATTCACTTCAGATTTCAGCAGAAGTGTATATATTTTCATTATTATCTAAAACACTCTTATAATCCCTTACACTCCTAAGATTTCTATATAAGCAGGGCTTAATTTCTAAAATTAGAAATGCCGGAGCCCTCTGGAAGACCGTCAGCAAAGAGGAACGGATAAATAATAAATAATGTGACTGTTAAACTCATTAATATTTAAAATTAAATAGTTAATTATTATCAATTAATTAATAGCTATTTAATTAATGTTATAATTGCTGTTTAATTAATAATTAATTATAATTTAATTGATAATTGTTAGAAAAATAATTAAGTATTATTTATTGAAATCATTAAGACTAAAGTAATTAAATATTAAAATTAAATAAAATGTAAAGAGTAAAATTATATTTAATAAGCGATTTTTTAATAAAATTTTATTGTTGAAATAAAGTGTTGGGAAATCTTGCATTCTCATTTATCTCCATGAAGTTAAGAGGTTCGTCATGCCACCAGAAGTCATGGGCTGGTAAAACTTGGCTCATGGCCCATCTAAAAAGATAAAATAAAAATAATGAATATCAAAAGTAAATAATAAAAAAATATTATATTGTTACGAATTTGGTATTTAAAAAGCTAATGTTAGTTCAATCATAAATTAAATGGTTTTATTTCTCGCGCAGTGCAGCGCGTGACGAATATTAAAAGAAAGCTAAGCCGGAAAATTGAAAATACAAGAGCGCGTGCATTAAATAAATAAATATCTCTTTTTGATTTCGAGAAAGTACTGGAAAATTCTAGCGCGTGATTTTAAAATCTTATAAAAGGAGGAAAACATCTCAGTTTTTTAGTAGTTGCTTGCTTAGTTTGTTGTTGTTTAGAAAACTGCTGTTGTTGATTATAGCGAATTCGCGGATTAGCGTTCTTTAGCTGTTTTGAATTACGTTCTATTGTACATTTGAGTAGTTAAAAGATAACTACTGTGAGATATTGTAATACTGCATGATAATTTGAGAAAATTTAAGCATTTTTGTTGTGATAATAATAAATTTTTGTTCATTTTTCATCGGACTTGTGCATTCATTTCGTAACGAACCCGTACGCACGCAACAATTTTTTGGTGTCAGAAGTGGGATTTGAATGCCAATAACAAGAGCGATGGAAGAGCAATTAAGGCAGTTAATATCAGCCTTTGCCTCATTTAAAAGAAGAAATTAAGAGGAAATGAAATTGGGCCAGGAATCCGTTAAGGACAAATGAAAGCCGTTCAAGCTGGTCAATAAAAAAGATTGAAGCATGTCAAGAAGAATGAAAATAGAAATTACCTTGCATAATAGAAAATAAATTTGAAGCTATGGAAGGCAGAACTGACACAGTTGAAAATAAAGTTGGGCAAATTCAGAAAAGTTTCTTTAGTAAAAGATCAAATTGAAGAAAAAGAGTTTCTTCGTGAAAGAAGAAATAGAAAAAAGAGTTTCTTCTGTAAAAAGAACATATAGAAGGGAGAGTTTCGGCTGTGGAGGAACAAATTGAAGGAAGAGTTTGTGCGTCCAACACCAATTGAACAACAATTGATGAGAGAGTTTCTGCAGTTGACAAAGAATGGAAACTTTAAAGAAATTCGTAGCGACGGCAGGGAGCAGAGTGATGATTTTAAATTCTTACCGATGCCTGCTCGTCCATCTCTGAAGCTATCCACATATGATGGGAATACATCTTGGCAAGTGTACAAGACCCAGTTTTCTATCGTTGCAGATGCGAATGGATGGGATTCCCAAGCTAAGGCCTGTCATCTCGCCGCTTCTTTAAGAGCCCACGCAGCGGATATCCTTCAGACTCTTTCCGAAAACAAAAGGTTATATTTCGAAGCTCTGCCCGGCGCCTTGGAGTTGCGCTTTGGGGAGAAGTGTTTAAAAGACTACAGCAGGCTCCAATTAAAATCCCGTCAACAGAAGCCCACAGAATCACTCCAGGAACTCGCCACGGATGTTGAAAGGCTATCCCACCTCGCCTTTACGGTGTGCCCGAGAGAAACGAGGGAAATTCTGTCGCTGCAATATTTCATCGATGGCATCCGGGACCCTGAAATACAGAAAGCACAACGAATGG